AGGAAGGAAGGAAGGAAAGAAAGGAAAGAGAAAGGAGGAAAGAAGAAATGAAATCTTAAAAAAAAAAAAAGAATGATTTTTACTTGAGACAACAAAGCATGGAGGGAGGGGGAAAAGCATTGGTTCAGATCCACATACCTTTGGCATTTTTGACTGCCAGTACCCAGTTCCAACTTTCTTGGTAACTTCACCCTTCTCCCTTGCAGTTTAGATGCTGCTGGGGAGGTCAGCTTTCTCCCAATTCCTGGCTTCCAGGGCCAGTTATGTGGCTCAGACCTAATGAATGAGCATGATGACTTACTCCCACACCCGGAGGGCTGATTTGAGGATGGGCATGCTTTATAACACGGCTCTGTCAGCCTGCATGCCTGGGCTTTCCAACTGGTTGTGGGAGGTGTGCTCTTTTCTCCTGTCCAGGAACGAGAAAGCATGTGGCAGTCATCTTAGGGTCAGGAAAGTAAGGGCTTCCTCAGACTGGAGCCAGACTGCATGCCTCAGAGCTTCGGCATGGACAGAACAGTTTGTGTCTTGTCACGTTGCTTTAATGGCAAGATCAAGCCCTGTTTTTAAAAAAGCTCTACTTTTATGTATGTATTTATTTTAAATTTTGTTTTAGATAAAGTCTATGTTGCCTCCTGCCTCAGCCCTGGGGAAACCACCACAGCCAGCCCTCTAAGACAAGGTCTTGCTATGTTGTCCATGATGGCAGGGACTCAAAATCCTACTACCTCCACTTCCCAAGCAGCTGAACTGCAGGGGCATACCATCCTGACCAGCTTTTAGAGTAGGCTAGGAATCAGGTCTGGGCCTCAAACCCAGGCCTCCCATGAGGCCTCAGCCTGCCCAGCTGCAGTGTCCACCAGTGCACACCATTGTAGCTGGACCAGAGTTCTTTTTACTATGATCTTAAAGCCAGTTTAAGATGGCTTTTCTGTTTCCTGCTCTGTTCTGTACAATGAAGAGTATCTCATATGCAAGTTTTTCCCAAGCAACTTTTAGAAAGGTATGAGTCATCTGGGGAAGAGCAGGTGGCATAATGGTTATGTCACTGGATTCCCATGTAGTCAACTACGATTCGAGTCCCAGAACTGGCAGCTTGAAACTCACGCTGGGTATGTCGTGTATGGGTGCCCCAAATCCTGAGAGGAGAATATAGGAAAAGGGATTGCCATGTGGCCACCTCTCCCAAAAGGGTGATTTCTCACTTTCTGTTTCTCTGGCGAGTGCACACACCTTATAGCAAAAATCTCTCTTAAGAAAAAAAAAAAAAGAAGAAGAAAAGAAAAGAAAGAAAAGGTAGGAGTCATTTGAATTGAAGTGCTGAATGTACCCAAGTGACACAAGACATTTTTGGAAAGTAAACTGCTCAAGTGTACAATGTGAAAGATGTGACCGAGGGGCCAGCAGGTGGCATAGTGATTACTAGACTCCCACGTGGCCCACCGAGGTTGGGGTTCCAAACCAGGCCTGAAAATCACCCCAGGTGCATATGCATGCATGCATGTCCCAAACCCCAGGAGAATGGAGGAGAAGGGATTATGGTGTGACCATCCTTCCTGGGAGGTGATTTCTCATTTTCCCTCTCACTGTCTCTCTCTGGCTAGTACATGTGCCCTATAGCAAAAACCTTTAAAAAAAGAAAAGAAAAGAAAGATTATGGCAGTGTCCACCAGTGCACACTATCATAGCTGGACCAGAGTTCTTTTTATATGATTTTAAAGCCAGTTTAAGATGGCTTTTCTGTTTCCTGCTCTGTTCTGTACAATGAAGAGTATCTCATATGCAAGTTTTTCCCAAGCAACTTTTAGAAAGGTATGAGTCATCTGGAGAAGAGCAGGTGGCATAATGGTTATGTCACTGGATTCCCATGTAGTCAACTACGATTCGAGTCCCAGAACTGGCAGCTTGAAACTCACGCTGGGTATGTCGTGTATGGGTGCCCCAAATCCTGAGAGGAGAATATAGGAAAAGGGATTGCCATGTGGCCACCTCTCCCAAAAGGGTGATTTCTCACTTTCTGTTTCTCTGGCGAGTGCACACACCTTATAGCAAAAATCTCTCTTAAGAAAAAAAAAAAAAAAGAAGAAGAAAAGAAAAGAAAGAAAAGGTAGGAGTCATTTGAATTGAAGTGCTGAATGTACCCAAGTGACACAAGACATTTTTGGAAAGTAAACTGCTCAAGTGTACAATGTGAAAGATGTGACCGAGGGGCCAGCAGGTGGCATAGTGATTACTAGACTCCCACGTGGCCCACCGAGGTTGGGGTTCCAAACCAGGCCTGAAAATCACCCCAGGTGCATATGCATGCATGCATGTCCCAAACCCCAGGAGAATGGAGGAGAAGGGATTATGGTGTGACCATCCTTCCTGGGAGGTGATTTCTCATTTTCCCTCTCACTGTCTCTCTCTGGCTAGTACATGTGCCCTATAGCAAAAACCTTTAAAAAAAGAAAAGAAAAGAAAGATTATGTCTTAAAATGGAATATGTGGAAAAACCTACACACGAGAATAAATACAAGCAGATATTTTGATTTGGGCTACATTAATAGAAGTATAATTCATAAGAAAAAAGAATGGATCCTTCTACAATGCTCTAAAAACCTCAATTTGGATTAGACTTAACACGAACCATTAGCAAAGAATAAAGACCATCTGAGGAAGTCCCCTCAGTAGACCACATGAACTCTAAATATATCTTAAGAGGGTACTGTGAAAGATATGAAATGCGTAACTTAGATCTCAGGAGAGAGAGGATATTTCAACTGCCTTGAAATACGTTAAGAGATGGTAGCTATTTGGGTTTCGGCAGCACATGACGACTTCCAATAATAACCCAATATCTATATGGTGACTCATTCCCTAAAACTCATCTGAAACTCCAACTGCCCCTGGACTATCAAATGACATCAGCCATGCCGGCTTGCTTTTCTCTGGTCAGTTTTGAGCTGCCTTTTCTGCCATTCTCAATCAGGAATTCTGACCCAGAATGTCACCTTTAAAAAGGATTAGACCTTTGAAGTCCCTACCAACAGAGAAAGGAGAATGTATAAACTCTAAGTGAAAAGTCTTCAAGGGGAATGAACAGATTTCCAAGAATAACAGCTCGCTCTAAGGAAGAAATGATCTACTTAAGAAGATAATTCTGTCTTTGAGTTCTGGTGGTTAATTGATAAAGGTGAAAACTCTGAGGTTTTTAATTCCCCAGAGTCTATGAAATTATTTCAAAATAGTTATACATTTAGGAAAGTAAACATAATTACTGATAAAATTTATAATGAGTATACATTTATTTGTTCAATGTGTGGTAGGGGTGTATTTTCATATGTTAACTCTGTATTTTTTGGTATGACTTCTTACATATTTCATTATTTTAATAGCTACTGAATTTTAAAGTCACTTAATCAATTTTAAAGCTTAATATTACAATACATATAGAGATTTATAGCTGTAGCTTTATGGTGATATTGTAACTATTTTATTGTGTGTTAAGACCCTACTTGGCAACACAATCTTAAATAAAGTATCACTCCCAGAGCAGAAATGACCTGCCGTGCTAGGTAATATCCCAAATTCCTTGAAAGAAATCAATGTTTCTACTCTTTGTTCAAGACTTTGGTTTTAAATTTCTGAAATTCTTGAGTGAAGATCATTCCCTTCTTTATTCATTTTTGGGGGGTTGTCCCAGAATGTCACCTTTAAAAAGGATTAGACCTTTGAAGTCCCTACCAACAGAGAAAGGAGAATGTATAAACTCTAAGTGAAAAGTCTTCAAGGGGAATGAACAGATTTCCAAGAATAACAGCTCGCTCTAAGGAAGAAATGATCTACTTAAGAAGATAATTCTGTCTTTGAGTTCTGGTGGTTAATTGATAAAGGTGAAAACTCTGAGGTTTTTAATTCCCCAGAGTCTATGAAATTATTTCAAAATAGTTATACATTTAGGAAAGTAAACATAATTACTGATAAAATTTATAATGAGTATACATTTATTTGTTCAATGTGTGGTAGGGGTGTATTTTCATATGTTAACTCTGTATTTTTTGGTATGACTTCTTACATATTTCATTATTTTAATAGCTACTGAATTTTAAAGTCACTTAATCAATTTTAAAGCTTAATATTACAATACATATAGAGATTTATAGCTGTAGCTTTATGGTGATATTGTAACTATTTTATTGTGTGTTAAGACCCTACTTGGCAACACAATCTTAAATAAAGTATCACTCCCAGAGCAGAAATGACCTGCCGTGCTAGGTAATATCCCAAATTCCTTGAAAGAAATAAATGTTTCTACTCTTTGTTCAAGACTTTGGTTTTAAATTTCTGAAATTCTTGAGTGAAGATCATTCCCTTCTTTATTCATTTTTGGGGTGTTGTTTTTTTAATCACCAGAAGTTGCATATACTCACCAGAGACAGAGGAGGGAAAAGGAGAAAGCACCCCCGATGAGGCATGGTCACTTTCCAATCTCTTCCCCGAAAAGGAGAAAGCACCCCAATGAGGCATGGTCACTTTCCAATCTCTTCCCCTCCACTTCTTCATTCTGTCAAGATTTGGGGCACACATGCATATGCACCAGGCATGTTTTTCAAGACACCGGGGGTGGGATTTGAACTGTGGTCAGTCATATGAGATCTGGACTCCCCTAGGTTGTTCTTGGTCTCTTTCTTCTTTTTTTTTTTTTTTTTTAAAGGATTAGGGTGTTT